TGTTTCATACATCATTAGTATTTTTGTACGAGTTAAACTCTAAGTTAAGTGGGGGACTAACAGCTTACCTTATGACTTTTAAGTCAGTGTTTAAGTTTGTGTAAACCTTAACTCTTCGCTGAGTGCTTATACTGGTTATAATTAGTGCACATGTCATCCCATCACCTGTTAAGCCCTCATATTGCCTTTATGAGGGCGATCACTGAGACAGCAAGAGACCCTTTTAGAGACTAAATAGCCAACTTACCCTTGTCATGCATAAAAGAATTTAGAACTTACCTTTAGGGTGTATGCTCCCTATGCTTTGTTTTATTTTGCATCAAAACAAGTCTTTCTTGAAGCATCTTGAAAACAAGATAAGGGTGACATAATGATCGCCACGCAGAATATTTTCATCACAGAGTTTGGACAAGAAACAAGATTCTTGTTTCATCATGCAGGGGGTATGATCATGTGTCACCCCTCGAAGGGTGAGTTCATCATAGATTACATATACTTGTTCATACATAAAACATGCATACTTGCCAGGTTGATTTATAGGTCCCTAAAAAAATCTACAACACTCGATTTCAAACAAAAAAAAAAAAGGCGATGAAGAGCTTGCTTACCATAATGCCTATTTTCAAGAAGAGTTGAAGTCTCTAAAAACAAGTGTGGCTCACCTCACTAGCTTACTTGAGCAAACACTATAAAATACCTCTGGTTAAAGTCCTTCTACCTGACTGGTCACTTTTAATCAAGCTCTTACTACAGTTCAACTTGAAGAAAAAATGAGCAAACAGGGTCAAGAGCCTCAACAAAACCCAACATTTGTGCAGTCAGCAACACCTACACCAGCCCCGATAGTTATGGAGGCTAGCGTGAGAATAGATTCACTAATTAAGCCTGCCTTATTCTTATCTTTTGTTTCATGCTTTTGAACAAGACTATCTATGTTCATATCACACTTCTTTTTGTTGTTCTTATATTCAAATAACATTTTGAGCATAATTTTTGCTCATAAAACTACAACATGAAGAATCTGTCGGTGTTTTCTTTTCCATTTTCCAAAACCATACATAACCTCATTTGTTTTCATGGATATTTTTGGGACCTCCAAAGTGAGTACAAAAATAAACATCATATTAGTATTTGTCCAAAACAACTACATTCTAGAAATTCAAGTGATTCCTTAGACAGGAAAATTGAAACAAAAACAAACAACACCACGAGGTGACTCACAAGCTGAGTTTTATTTGAATGAATAAATTATTTTGCATACACACATGAAAGCAAGACCTACTGATCCTCAATGCATTAAGTTTGAGATGAGGAAAGGTCATCTTTAATAATCCTTCACGAGGCTGAAATTTTTTGGTCATAGTGTTGGAGAGCCCATAAATCCAGATCGAAATCCAGATGGGTCGAAGGATCGTCCCCATATCTCTCCCTCAATTGACTATTATAAGTCTCCTGAATTTTTTTTTTAAAAATCATCATATTTAATTCAAGAAAATAATAATTTATGAAATAAAATGATTGAATGAACATACCACAAAGTGCTGAGCACGATTGTCCATGTACTGCTGCACCCCCTTTGGCGATCTTGACTTCGTACGTGCATCACTACAAATAGCTCCATTGGACTTGGCTCATGTCCAAGAGATTTAGCCTATAAGGAAAAAAAAGGTTGCAAGTTAAATATATATATAAGCAACAACAAATTAATTAATAACATATTTTATTGAAATTAATCTTAACATCTCCTTCGCATGTGCGCTGAACGGGATGGAGCAGCCGGTGTGCATGGTCACTGAACCATGAATTTACCGGTTCCAATTGTCGACTCCAGACTGTGAGCACCGTGAGAACCACTCAGACATCACGTGCTCAATATATGCCACCCATATATCTCCCGAGATGAATGGCAGTTTGAATTCCCGTCAAACCGCCACTTCATTTCATCCTTCAAGACCGTTGTCCCTCGCATATCTTTTCGCCTTTTTTTGGGTGTCATACCAAAAATCATGCAACCTACTTCCATAGTAATTAATTAGAATTTATAACATAAAATTATAAGTATTATTTTTTATGTTACCTAGTTGCCTTGTGATTCTCCTATATCCTCCTAACAACAATGTTGTCCGCGCCATCCCATTCAAATTTATTATGTGTATATAAATAATTCATTTAAAATAAAAATATTACAAGATATAAAATTAAAAAAATTATTTATTAAAAATAAACTAGAAATTAAATATTAACACCTACCTGAAATCGCTGAAACCAGGCATTAATATTAGGTCTCCACTCAGGATGTCTAGAGACCTGACTCCATTAAAACAATGAAATCTCTATTGACGATTTAAACGTTGATGTTATTGTCCTGATAGTCTTAATGTTTGTGAATCTGAAATTAAATAAAATTAATAAAAAATTAATTAGTTGTTCATAAATTATGTTATAAGTATTAAAAAAAAACTAAAACCTAAACAAACTTGCATTGAGAGGTCATCTTTCCATTATGCTTGATACTTGCAAGTGATTTGACCCTGTTGTGAAGACACACTGCCTCTACGTTGTGAAACCGCGCTAGAAGAGGCAGCATCACAAGTTGGTGCAAATGTCTCGCTGTGATCAGCACCTAAGGAGATGTCTTCCTCGCTGCTAGAAAAACTAGCTACAACCGTTTGCTGATGACGTGTTGTAAATTTCATTCAACGCATCTACACAAATGTATATGAATTATTACATAATTAACTTTGATTATTTTAAAAAAATTCGGGAGCACCTCCCTTATACTGGAGACTACCCACAGTTTTCAAACCTGTAATCTTTACAATAACCACAATTCAATTGATTCCAGCAACATCATATATACAACCTAACATCTATAGAAATTCAATCATTTAAAAAAATTCGACAACACCTCCCCTATATTAGAGATTACCCACAGTTTTCATACCTACAAATATTGATAATTACACAAATATTGCAAAATCAACTCTATACAACCTAACATCTATAGAAATTCAACATCTATATATTTTCAATTAACATCGGTACAAATTCATAAATAACAATTAAAATTAATCAAAATAATAAATAACATAACAAACAATAATATCCTAAAATTAAGATAAACTAATTAAATTTAATTCTATATTTCAATTAACATTTTAAACATAAATTCAACAATAACAATTATGGCAATACAAACAATAATATCATAAAAACAATACACAAAACTAAAAAAACACTATATAAATTCAAAATAAATTTAGGAATAAAAAATGTTTTTCTTAATAGTGTGTTGATTTTAAGATTTTATCTACAAACAATACATAAAACAAAAAACACTAAAAAAAATAATCATAATTAAAATAAAAATAAATAAATAAATACAAAGATAAAGAAAAAAGAATACATACCCTTTAATATGTTTAAAACTACCACCAAAACAATAAAACCTTTTGCAAAAACTTAAATGAAACGGAGAGGAAAAGAGAAATAGAGATGAAGAGTCGAGAGAAAAAATGAACCAAATAGGGGAGGGGGGTTTTATATTGCAATTTTTCTGACAGCATTACCAGCGGAATATTTATTATTGTTGGTGGTATTAAATTCCGTCGGTGATTAATTGATATTCGCATCAAAAATTTCAAAAATCCCACTAGACTTTTCGAGCACCCAGTTAGAGGAGTTCATAGCCTTGAAACAACAATGTGAAAGCCTCTCGATAGATTATGATCAACTCCGTCAAATGGTCATGGAGATTAGATCAAAGATGGGTGATGATCCATGTGCTACTTCTTTTTTGCCATAAGATCCTAGCAACAACCCACCCTCTCCTCCTCTTTCTCCAGCTCCACCGCTATTTTAGTTTAATTTTGTTTTTTAAAACATTAAATTTATAATGAATATTTGGATGAATATTATTTAATATTATTTTTATATTTTTAATGTTTAATACAAATTTATTTGGTTATTAAGTTTTTTTATTGTTAATAAATAATTTTTTTACATATTTAAAATAAATATCAATAGTTGTATAGAGAGAAATAAATCATTAGTATTTTACCAAAAGTTACAAAAAAATTACCTACCATGCTACAATCACCGACATATATATTTTGTTGGTATGTTTCATTACTATTACCGATGAATATAGTCTATCGGTAATAGTAATGAAATTATTTTGTTGGTAAAATTCTTACAGGAATTTTCTTTAGTTGGCTTCACCCTCTATAATAACGTTGGTGTTCCGTTGGGGTTTAATTTTTTAATTACTGACAGAATTGGCAACGAAATGAAAAATTACCGATGATCAAAATTATGACAGAAGGATTCCGTTGGTGGTGTAGTGATTGCAATTCCAGTTAATTGAGAGAGCCCGTGATTAATGAAGCAGTCCTTACATTATTTCTTGACAGATTCAATTAAAGGATAGAAACTGATGCAAGAGTTTTTTTAAATACATGTGTGTGTGTATTTTCTTTGTTTTTTTATTATTTCATTTAAAAAATTAAATATTATATTTAATAAATTGTTTTATTTTGCTTACTACTTTTACTTTATTTTCAGGTTTGTATATATAAAACACGAAAACAACTTATTGAATTAGTACAAAATCATGGATGAAAAAATCGATACGTAGATTGAACAAATAAAATAAATAAATTTAACAGACAAATTTAAATAATTTAACATCAGCATGAATTTCACCAATATCCTAGAAAATTACCAGGATGAACAAGTGAAGGTTTTGAACGAACGAGCCTGCAACTAAGCATCGTTAGAAATTATAGGACTTGGAAATGAATTTTCCCAGGATTTACCAAATCTTCCACCCAATAGAAACTGATGTCACAGTTGTTGACGTATATCAAATTCTGTAATATAAGAACAAAGGTGAATAGGAAATTACACAATTAAAAATTCCAATAAATATTCCATTTCTTTTTTTCTATATATAAATACCTATCATTGGAGCCTAGGATCTTCATCTTCCATAGCAAACCATATCCCTTAGACATGATGTCCTTACTCCAGAAACCAGTCTCAAAGTTTCTCCAAGTCCTTTTTTTCCTCCTCATAATGTGCTTTCCTTCTTTCTTTGCCTTTCCTCCTAATTCCTCTGCAACTTCATTTGGTGCTGCCAAATATGCAGTTGCGGAAGGTAATAATGAAGCAGAGGCTCTCCTAAAATGGAAAGCAAGTCTTGATGACAACCACAGCCAATCTGTCCTGTCTTCTTGGGTTGGCAGCAGCCCTTGCAAGTGGCTTGGAATCACTTGTGACAATTCTGGAAGTGTCGCGTATTTCAGCCTTCCACATTTTGGTCTGAGAGGTACGCTTCAAAGTTTCAACTTCTCATCCTTCCCCAATCTTCTCACTCTCAATCTCTGGAACAATTCACTCTATGGAACTATTCCATCCCAAATTAGTAACCTGACCAAAATCACCAAATTAGACTTGAGTGATAATCTTTTCACAAGAAATATTCCACTTGAGATAGGATTACTAGAGTCTCTCATTCACCTTGACTTGTCAAGCAATAATTTAACTGGTCAGATCCCTTCTTCTATCGGAAATTTGAGAAACTTATCTATTCTTTTGTTTTGGAGTAATAAACTCTCTGGTTCCATTCCTTTTTCTATCGGAAATCTAAGAAACGTATACCTTCTCTATTTTTGGGATAATAAACTTTCTGGTTCTATTCCTTCTTCTATTGGGAACATGACTATGCTCACTCGACTTGATCTGAGCACAAATAATTTATCTGCATCTGTTCCTCGGGAAATAGGACAACTCGAATCCCTTGTTGAATTGAGTTTGTCCTTTAATAATCTCCATGGTTCTCTGCCCCCCGAGATGAATAATCTCACACATTTGAAGATTTTGCACTTGTTTTCAAATAATTTCACTGGCCATTTACCACGAGACTTGTGCCTTGGTGGGTTACTTGTAAATTTTTCAGCCGGCCACAATCATTTTTCTGGTCCAATTCCTAAAAGCTTGCAAAATTGTACTCGTCTATTTAGAGTCAGGCTTGAGTGGAACCAATTGACAGGGAATATTTCTGAAGATTTCGGCCTCTACCCAAACTTGAACTATGTGGACCTAAGTCACAATGATTTGTCTGGTGAGCTTACATGGAAATGGGGAGGTTTTCACAACTTAGCGAGCCTAAAATTGTCAAACAATAATATCACCGGTGAGATACCATCAGAGCTGGGAAAGGCTACTGGGCTACAAATGATTGATCTCTCGTCAAATCTCCTAAAGGGGACAGTTCCAAAAGAATTGGGGCAGTTGAAGGCGTTGTACAACCTTACTCTTCATAACAACCATCTTTTTGGTGTCGTTCCCTTCGAAATCCAAATGCTATCTCAACTTGGTGCCCTTAATTTAGCTTTTAATAATCTTGGTGGATCAATCCCAAAACAACTGGGACAGTGCTCAAATTTATTACAGTTGGACTTGAGTCATAATAAGTTCACAGGGAGCATCCCATCTGAGATAGGCTTCCTGCATTTTCTTGGAGATCTAGATCTCAGTGGAAATCTACTGGCAGGAGAGATACCATCACAAATTGGGCAATTGAAACAGTTAGAAACGATGAACCTCTCTCACAACAAACTTTCCGGTTTTATTCCAACTGCTTTTGTAGACTTGGTGAGCTTGACAACTCTAGACATCTCCTACAATGAACTAGAGGGCCCTATCCCCAAAATCAAAGGATTCAATGAAGCTCCATTTGAAGCTTTTATGAATAATAGTGGTCTATGTGGAAATGCCAGTGGTCTAAAGCCTTGTACACTTCTTACATTCAGCAGCAAGTTAGCTAAGAGAAAGAGCAACAAAATTGTCATTTTGATTCTTGTTCCTCTCCTGGGCAGTCTACTTCTACTTGGGTGTTTATACTTTCCCAACCGGAAAAGTAGAGAAAGAATTTCCTGTTTAGGAGAGCGACAAAGTCCACACAGTTTTGTAGTATGGGGCCATGAGGAAGAGATCCTACATGAAACTATCATCCAGGCCACTAATAATTTCAACTTCAATAACTGCATTGGGAAAGGGGGATACGGAATTGTTTATCAAGCCATGTTGCCAACAGGTCAGGTGGTTGCCGTGAAGAAACTTCACCCATCAAGAGATGGGGCGCTTATGAATTTGAAAACTTTTAGAAATGAGATTCGCATGTTGATAGATATTCGACATCGGAATATTGTGAAGTTATATGGATTTTGTTCATTAATAGAGCACTCTTTTTTAGTTTACGAGTTCATAGAAAGGGGAAGTTTGAAGATGAATTTATCAAGCGAAGAACAGGCAATGGACTTGGATTGGAATAGAAGGCTTAATGTTGCTAAAGGAGTGGCCAATGCATTATCCTATTTGCACCATGATTGCTCGCCTCCAATCATTCATCGAGACATTTCCAGCAGCAATGTTCTTTTAGATTTGGAATACGAGGCTCATGTTTCGGATTTTGGGACAGCTCGGCTCTTGATGCCTGACTCAACCAACTGGACCTCATTTGCTGGCACCTTCGGATACACAGCTCCAGGTACATACCTGATTTCATTCTTAACATATATATACATGAATCAATTGCTAAATTTCTGTTTATATGACATATATATACATTATGACATATTAGCACAACAATACAACCATTACTATGAAAATGGAGGTACAATTACAACACATTTTTGGATACTCTAAAGGTTATGTATAATAAATTTTTATATTAGCAGTACAATACACCCAGTACTGTGAAAAAATGACCAGAATTTTTGCAGAGCTAGCTTACACAATGAGAGTGAACGAGAAGTGCGATGTCTACAGCTTTGGAGTGGTCACAATGGAAATAATAATGGGAATGCATCCGGGTGATCTCATCTCCTCTCTTTCTGCACCAGCATTTTCCTCCTCGTCGTTCTCTCAAATCAACCAGCATACATTGTTGAAGGATGTGATAGACCAACGTATCCCACTTCCTGAAAATCCAGTTGCAGAAGGTGTGGTCTACATTATCAAAATAGCATTTGCATGCTTGCTTGCCATTCCCCAATCTAGGCCAACCATGCGACAAGTAGCGTCGGAGCTCATAGCTCGATGGCCTCCGCTGCCAAAGTCATTTTCCGCAATAACATTGGAAGATCTGATGCCTCAAACAACTGTGACAGGCTGATAATTTTCCAAAAGATTTTCTATAATTAGTATGTGATTGTTTCTACTTATGTTACTTTCAATTTTCGTAGCTTTGTTTGTAATAAATTATTTCTCTGCTTTGTATTTTGTTTCTTCAACGATTAAGGTGTTGAAGTACAGTATTATTATTAATCAAGGTAAATAAAGGCTCTTTGCTATAATTTGTTTTGGTAAAGTATTATTAATTTGTTTCATCCCTTGTAATAATCTAGCAAGAGCAAATTGTTAGACAGCAAATTGTTATCGTAGACACCAATGCGTTTGTCCACATGGTTGCCCCATAGGATATAGCCATTCATCTTCCATTCTCTCATCCCCTATATGGCGGTGATGGTAGGAGTGATTTTGGCAGCACTGATTAATCAGAATCAATAGATAAAACAAGTCCAGCTATAATCTCCTACTGCAACCTAAGATGTTCTAAAACATAAGCACTAGCATTAGAGGCTTCTAGAAGGAGATATACCAAGAATTGCTGGATATCCTATGCATCTGCACTTGAACTATGAATCCACACAGATCATGCTACAAAAACTTAAACTATCAACTACACGGAGTTCTCCACACTGAACTCTTGAAGAATCTTCTGTGCAGCCTCGATTACAGGACTACAATAGCAAAGTGTCAAAAGGCATTTGCCTAAAAAAGCGCATGTGGGATAAAGTATGGAACCAAGGAGTGGTCATCGAAGAAATGCTGCAGTAAAATGTAGATCTGAGAATTATTTGGTGAACAACAAGAAGTTCCAAATCCATTACAAGCAAGCTTGGAGGAGGGCCAAGCGCTGCTGCTCATTTTTAATGGGTGAAGCCAAGAAGTCTTGTACATGTACCAAGAATTTAAGATCTTGGCAACCTTAAACTCCTTTTAAGCCAAATTTTTAGTTTCCTCAATTATATCCAGAAATTTACTGATAATTCAATAAATGATTATCTCCAATAAAATGATTTTTAACATAAGCATCGTGGAAGTATATGGTATGGCAAGTGATACTTATTTTAGCATGATTATATAATAAAGCAAAGCGAGGAAAAACTTATGCTTAAGCACAGGGACCATGTAAAGCCAAATCACAAAACAAAACTATGAATCCACACAGATCATGCTACAAAAATTTAAACTATCAACTACACAGAGTTCTCCACGCTGAACTCTTGAAGAATCCTCCGTGCAGCCTGGATTACAGGACTACAATAGCAAACTGTCAAAATGCATTTGCCTAAGAAAAAAAAGAGTGAACAAGCGATTCGTTTGTGATTGAGAGTGTTGGTTGAGATTTTCATGGAATCATATCCAACGCGATCCCAAGACTCATGCTTGAGAATAAAATGCAAACAAAACTGAGGTTTCATTTTTTTTTCTTTTCTATTGCTTTTTTGATGAACGCTGTGCAATTTTGTTAAGCCTGAATGAAAAAGAAAGTTCAAGCCAAACCCAGACAAGGCTACAAAGGAAGTGGCGGTAACCCAAAACAGGAAAGAAGAGTAATAACCAAAAATCAAAAAGTCTACAGCCCACAAACAAAGACACAAAACATATAGGAACAAGAGAAAAGGTCATTCAGCAGCAAGAAAATGGTCTGTGGCAAGATCTAAATAAACAAACTGTCAAGAACATGGCAAAGAAACACAAAACCCCGTAGAGCAGCCCCCTTACATAGAAACCAACAGCCCTCAAGAAACATATGGAATAGAAATTAACCCAATCGCACACAACCAGCGGTTATCATCAAATTAGCAATTGTAGCAAATTGTGAACCTTTTTCCAACCACCATGACTTTTTATTGTAGTAGTTGGTTGGCATTTATTAGGCTGCACATGGGTTGCTGCGAAGGCTCTCATTTCTCCTATAAATGGAGATAGAGACGAGAGAGTGAAATATATAGAAAGAGATATGTAAAGGAAGTGTGCAGTGAGTGCAAGTGCAACTGTGACAATGAGAAAGTGCAGATTTGAGAGAAATATTAAGTGTAGGAGTGAAACACTGGGTTTTGTGGGATTGTACTGCGTTGAGTTCAGTATTTGCATCATTCCTCCAATAATATACAATCTGTTGCCTTCGTGGGCGTACCTGGTTTTGGGGAACCACGTAAATCTGCTTGTTTGTGTTTTATTTGTGTTTGCTTTCGGTCCAGTATGCACAACAAATTGGTATCAGAGTACTAGGGAAGCTAGAACACTGAAAAAAACGTTTTTTCAGCTTTCGGTTCGAAGTTGTAGATTTTTCAAAGTTCTCGGATCTTGATTTTGACCACTTGCGGAGATTCCTCTCATCGATACGAGTCCGAAGATATAAAGATCATCGAAATCGAAGTTGAAACGAGCCTTGTAGAGCTCGCTGAAGTTTCACCTGAAATCTGATGGAAAAACCAGATAGTGCCAGAATTTTAGCCTGAGAAGACTGCCACATCACTAGATACATTGGCGCTGAGTCATCATCCACGTCATCAACAAGGGGTCCACATCACCATGTCATCAGACACTTCATCTAACAGTGACAGAATATTCTCTTGACAGAATAAGAATATTCCACTAACAGTAAGAAAATATTCCCATGACAAAATATTTTTTATTAGAGATAGAATATTCCTTCTCTGAGTCAACTCGGTCAGATTGGTTTTTTAGCCAACTCAGTGATTTTTTGACCCGTTTTAGGCCGAGTCAAGCTGGTTCTTAGCATTTTCAACCATTCTGGACGCAACGGTGGTGTTCGTTTTGTGAAACAGCACACTGAAGTTATTGTTTTGGCTTTTTTGAGCATAAAAATGCATGTTTTAACAATTTCGAGAGTCGATTTGTAATCCAAAGACGTCCTAATGACTGATATTCCAGAAAAAAATCAGTGGGAAATGCTAGTATACCTCCATAATACATCCCGGTATCGAGTACTAAATTTGAGGTGGAGAAGTTTGATGGGAAAGGTAATTTTGGCATGTGGAAATGTGAAATCATGGATATACTTGTCTAAATGAATTTGGATTTCACTCTAGAAGATAAACTAGAGGATTTGGATGATAAAAGCTGGGAAAGGATAAATCGGTTGGCCTACAGTTCCATCCGACTTTGTCTTGTAAAGGATCAGAAGTATGCCTTTTCAGAACAAAACTTTGCAAAGGAATTATGGCAAGCACTGGACGACAAGTTTATGAAGAAGAGTATAGAGAATCATCTCTACTTGAAGAAAAGGATCTTTCGCTTTCAGCACAAGAAAGGTACTTCTATGAATGAGCATCTGAATGATTTCAATAAAATGATAGCTGATTTGAAGAATTTAGATGTGGAAATTGATGATGAAGATAAAGCTTTGTTGTTATTGAATTCACTGCCTGACACATATGAACATCTCGTCACCACTTTACTGTATGGTAAATAAAAGATTAAATTCATTGATGTGTCCAATGCTTTGGTGAACAATGAGTATCGGAAGAAGGACCAGATAGTTCACAAGGAGTCAACATTAGAAGCATTGATAGTTAGAGGCAGAACAAACCCCAGGAGATTTCAAGGGCGAGGGAGATCTCGCTTAAAATCCAGAGAAGAATCATCAAACAGACGATATCTTGTAAAAGATGAGTGTGCCTTTTATCACAAGAAAAGGGCACTGGAAGAAAGATTGTCCAATCAAGGGCAATAAGGAAAAAGATGAACCAACTGTGAACGATGCACGAGATGAGGATGAACGAGACTCTGCATTCATGGTCTCATCACTAGAAAACCATTGTGGTGAATGGCTTCTTGATTCTGCATGTTCCTATCACATGTGCCCTAACAAGCACTTATTCTCGATACTCGAGGAGTTTGATGGAGGAGTTGTGTTGATGAGATCAAAGGGATTAGGACTATCCAACTGAAGATTAATAATAGGGTAGTCAAGACACTCACAAAGGTATGACATGTACCTGACTTGAAGAAAAATCTTTTCTTACTTGGAATCCTAGAATCCAATGGTTATAAGATTATCATGCATGGTGGAGTCCTGAGAGGAATCCGTGGTGTATTAGTTGTCTTAAGAGGCACGAGGATAGGAAACTTATATTTCCTAGATGGATCTACTATTACTAGTACAACAGCTATTTCTAAAAGCATAGAAGATGATGAAACAAGTAATTCTAGACTTTGGCACATGCGCTTAGGGCATGCTGGTGAAAAGGCTTTGCAAGGATTAGTTAAGCAAGGTCTATTAAAAGGTGTCAAGACTGGGAAGCATGGGTTCTGTGAGCATTGTGTTCTTGGAAAACAAACAAAAGTCAAGTTTGGCACTGCGGTATACAATACAAAAGGGATTCTTGATTATGTTCACACAGACATATGGGGACCTTCAAAGAATGAATCTCTTGGAGGTAATCGTTGGTTTGTTACTTTTATTGATGATTTTTCAAGATGAGTATGGGTGTACATGATGAAATGTAAGGATGAGGTCCTTGATATCTTTCTGAAATGGAAGAAAATCATGGAGACTCAAAATGGAAGGAGAGTTAAGACTCTTCGGTCAGATAATGGTGGTGAGTACACTTCAGATCCTTTCTTTGAAGTTTGTCAAGATGAAGGGATCAAGCGACATTTTACTATTCGCAAAACACCACAACAAAATAAAGTAGCAGAACGCATGAATCACACATTGGTGGAGAAAGTCCGATGTATGCTATCACATTCGGGACTAAGCAAAGTGTTTTGGGGCGAGGCATTAAGCTATGCTCGTCATATTGTTAATCGGTTACCTTCAGCAGCATTAAATGGAAGAACCCCCTTGGAGGTATGGTCAGGCTCTCCTGCAAATGATTATGACTCTATGTGTATATTTGGTTGCTCAACGCATTATCATGTTACTGAGTCCAAGCTAGATCCTATAGCCAAGAAAGCTATATTTTTGGGCTTTAGTGAAGGAGTAAAAGGTTACGGACTCTAGTGTTCTGAATCAAAGAAAGTGATTTTGAGTAGAGATGTCATTTTTGATAAGTCTAGCATGTTACAGCAAGAGAAATCACAGGAGAAGGAAAAACAGTCTGGTGATTGACAACAGGTGGAGTTGGAGACTTCAGTCATCCCTATAAAAACTGTTCAGACAATCCCTACTGAAGGAGATT